AATAGTTTAAAAGATGAATTACAACCACCTTTTGCTATGCAAAACTTATTCACCATTAAGTGTGCTGAACCAATTTTACCTAATCATAATAAATTAAGGCTATGTTTAGTACTAAGAAATTTAGGATAACATTGAGAAGAATGAGAATTCCAGAGCATTTACTTATGCTCATGCAGGACTTGAATGTAGACTAAGAAGCAGTCCTTCAAAGAGAACAAAGGGATACTGGATACTTTAAAGTCAGGGAAGGGAGGCTGATGAAGGTTGTAGTCTTTCTGTTTGTATGGTGAGTTAGTAACCCAGAAGCTAGGATACATGAAGAAGAATGCGGCATCAGGAGAGGAGGAGGGTTCATCAGTCATCTGTGTTAGGCAGATGGCATAACCTTATTCAAGTGAAGAGGACTTGGAAGTATTTACCGAAATCAAAAACTAGATTTCACTATGGATTACATCTAAGCATAATAAAAACAAAAATCCTCACAGCTGAACTCATAAGAAATAGCATAACAAACATAAGAAAGACCAGGATTGTAAGGATTTTGTTTTACTTGGCTCTACACCCAGCCCACTTAGTACCAGCGGTTAAGAAATAAACTTGTCTGCTGCTCCGTTGAACTTTGTAATTGTTACTGGGATGCGGTGATATCTCATACTTGTTTTGATTTGCGTCTCTCTTAGAGCTAGGGATTTTGAACATTTCTTCATGTGTTTATTCACCATCTGAATGTCTTCTTCAGTGAAATGTCTGTTCATATCCTGGGTCCATTTTGCAATTAGGTTGTTTACCTTTATCTTGTTGAAATGCTGGAGTATCCTATAAATTTTAGATACAAGTCCCTTATCAGACATGTCATTTCCAAATTGGAACACTTATTCATTGTTGATGGGACTGTAAAATGCTGCAACCACTATGGAAAGCAGTGTGGCACTTCCTCAAAAAGCTGGAAATAGAAGTATCATTTGACCCAACAATTCAAATACTGAGAATATACCCTGAAGAAACCAGAGTTGCCACCGAAATAAATATACACGCATCCCTGTTTATTGCTGCATTGCTCACAACAGCAAAGAGATGGAAACAACCCAAGTGCCCATCAAGGAATGGATAGTGAAGCTGAGGTGTATTCACACAGTGGAATATTACATAGTGCTGAAAAACAAGGAACTCACAAAATATTATACAAAATAGATGACTGGAGGATATTATGCTGGGTGAAATATCTCAGTTACAAAAGGGTAAACACTGCATAATGCCACTGTTATAAAGCAGGACTGACATAGAAGTTGACTAAGAAAAGAGGGGATAAATAACATGCACTGCATCAGAACAGATGAGGGAAAGAACTGTTTAAAAGGAATATATGATTAGACATTGTTTGCATGACAACAGTCCAAAATAAGAGATGCATAGCAAAATGGACTGGGGCTGAGGGGAGGGAGGAAATTGTGCAACAATGAATTAATTTTTTCAAGAAAAAAGCAAACTGAGATGGGGTGGTAGGGAGGAAAATGTGCAACAATGAGGGAATGGAAATTCAAGTTTTCTGTAACCTTTTGTTTAAAATCACAATAAATATTATTTCTAAAAATGAATAAACTTGTCATGACTTGACCTGGTGCATTGAGAAAAATCTGCTGTCAAGGGGCCTCTCCAAAGTGCTAAAGAGCAATGATGTCAGTTTAAAAACTAAAGCACATCTGATTTAAACCATGGTCTCCTCAACTGCTTGATATGCATCTGAAAGTTGGACAGTGACTAAAGATGGCAGAGGAATCAAGACCTTTCAGGTGTGGTGTTAGAGAAGAGTTCTGAACATCCTACTGATTACCAAGAGAACAAACAGGTCTGTCTTAGAGAAAGTGAACTAGAGTGCTCCTTGGAAGCGAGCATGGTGAAACTTCCGTCTCACATACTTTGGGTATATTGTTAGGAGGGACCAGTCCTTGCAGAAGGAGTCTCCATCTATCATGTGTAGAAAGGTGAAGGGTCTGTGAAAAAGAGGAAGACCCTCAACAAGATGGATTGACACAGAGACTATAGCAATAGGCCCTAGTATGTCAGACATGGTAAGGATGGCATAGGATAGAGCAGGGTTCAGATCTATTGTTTATAGGGTTGCTGTTATCACAATTAACTTGACGACAAATAACAGCAACAACGCTTTGAATTTTTTTGTTGGTGAAGAATATTGTGTATACCATGACTGCCAAAGAACAAACAATCTATCCTCAAGGAAATGTAATCAATGGACTCCTTAGAAATAAGAGACTTTGTCTCACCAACTTGGGGCATGTTATCAGGAGGACATAATGGATGGAAAAAGAGTCAACAAAGGAGAGGAAGACCCTCATGGGATGGATTGACACAGTGACCCCAGCAAGGTGTCTGAACATGGCAGCGATTGTGAGAAGGGATCATGAGCAGACAGGGTTTCTTTCTGTGTTGTTTTTTATAAGATTGCTATTAGTTAGAGGCAATTCATTGACACCTGAAGATATCACTTCATAGTCCCCCAGAACCTAAAGCTCTCCTGGTGAGATTCTAGTTCAAGCTTAACACATAAGTAAAATAAAATTCTGCAACAAGGTTACACACACACACACAGAGACACACACATGCACGGGTGCACAAACATATGCACGTACACACACACATACAAGTACATATATTTGCACTCACAATCTGTGACTCTGTGAGTCACTCATTTAATTACAGATCTTTAAAATCCTATCTTGAGTTTTAGCTGGATTTTGCATCTTCCTTATCCAAATGTTATTCTAGCCTCTTGCCTAACAGCAGGGGATATGTAGCCAGAGTAATGCATTTTCAGGAAAATGAAACTTAGGGAGTAATGGCAATTCTCAGACTGCTGCACTAGGTCTTGCCCAATAGGAGCACAGGAAGGGTGGGGCAGGAAAAGGAAACTAACACTCCAACACCCCAAACCCATTATTCTGGGGAAAAGCAGACTAAAATAAATGGTTTTTTTCGGGAGTTTGCTTTCACAAACTGTCTTTCTTTTCATATCCCTAATTTGGTTGTTTTTAAAATATTCTTGGAATACTGTGTTGTCTCATTCTCCCAAAACAAGCTCTGTTATAGCCCAGAACTGCTGTTGTCAGGCTTCTGAAGAAACTGCCCTTCATGTGCATCTTGAAGTCACACAGCAGTTTAGAGCATGAGAAAGGTCAGGGCCATTAAGATAGATAGATAGATAGATAGATAGATAGATAGATAGATAGATAGATAGATAGATAGATAGATAGATAGATAGATAGATGATAATAATAATAATAATAATAAATAAATTAATGAATAAATAAATAAATAAATAAAATCTTTTTCTGATACATTGCAGTCAGAAATGTGGAGCGGTTTAAACTTTACTCCAGTGCTAGTGTGATAAACTCAGTGAAAACACCAGGTATACATTAGCGCACAGATATTTGTAAGCTCCTGCTATGTGTTTAGAAGGAGCCTTGGTGACACAGTGGTTCTTTAGCTGGGTGGCTAACCAAAAGGTCAGCAGTTCGAGTCCATCAGCTGCTCCACTGGAGAAAGATACGAAAGTTTACAAATTTGGAAACTCTATGAGGCCACTCTGTTATGTTCTCTAGGGATCACTCCTCACTAATTTGGAGAGGTTCCTAACAGCAGATTTTCCCAGTGTAATACATCTCCTATTTCCTGACTGTTGGTACCAAAGGTGTTAATTGTGCATCCAAGTAAGATGAAGCTGTTGACAGTATCAATCTCTTCTCCCTTCATCATGATGTTGCTTTATTGGTCCAGTGGTTTTCTTGACACTGAGATGCAATCCATACTGAAGGCTGCATTCCTTGATCATCTGCACAAGTGCTTTGATGCTAGTAATACTTCTCCAAATAGGAACAAAGAAAAATTCCCAGTTTAGAAGCACTGACTACACTACCACTGACCACTGAAATAGATGGGTGATTTGGAAAAAGAAAAGGGTAAAATCTGTGGAAAAGAGAACATTCCAATCAGAGCTGCTAGTGCAAAGATCAGGGCACTGTATGGTATAGGCCATACTTACCACGTGGCACTGCTAATCCAAATGCTTCGTCTCTCTGATGATTCAAATCCACCAGCAGCTTTGTGGGGGAAACATGAGCAATCTCCTCCCATGTGATTTACGGCCTTGGAAACCCAATGGAGAGTCAGCTGTGAGTTGGCTCTGACTCTATGGCAATAAGAGAGATGGAAGAGCGGGAAGGGGAAAAAGGGGGCAAGGCAGAGAGAGAAATGATGGCAAGGCAATAGAGACCTTTTGCAATAAAGACCTTTGCTGAACTAGACATGAAAGTGAAGAGGTGACCTGAGCAAGATCCCAAAGCAAAGCCCCTATGAACCACATTATCATCTCATCTGTCATTGCTGTGTGCTGTCAAATTCTCTCAACTCATCATGATCTCAATGACCAACAGAACGAAACGCCCAGTCGAGGGCCACCGTCACAACCATTGCTGGGTTTGAGCCCAGTGCTGCAGCCAGTGTGTGGATCCATCAGAGTAACGGCCCTCCTCTTTCATGCTGATTTTCTACTTTATCAAGCACAGTGTCTTTCTCCATTTATTAGTACCCCCTGAAAACATGCCCAAAGCCTAGGAGACCAAGTCTCACCGCCTTCACCTCTAGGGGGCATTCTGCCTTCATGTCCTCCAAGGCATTTGCTTATTCTTGTAGTTTACAGTACAATGTTGTTGTTGTTGTTGTTGTTGTTATGTGCTGTCAAATCGTTTGCGATTCATAGCGACCCTATGTACAACAGCCCTAAAGCCTGCTCTATCCTCTGCCAATCTCCTTGCCTCTGATACACCCATCCCGATTACCCCAGTCACTGAATCAATCCACCTCATAGAGGGTCTTCCCCTCCTGCGCCGTCCCTCTACTCTACCCAGCATGATGTCCCTCTCCAAGGATCTCTCTCTCCTTACAACATGTCCAAAGTATGAGTCACCTATCTTTGATCTCACATGCATGAGACAATTGAAAATACTGGCTTGAACCAGGTAAGCTGGAGTCCTGAAAGTGACCTCTTCACTCTTCTGTACTTTTAAAGAGGTCTTTTACGGCGTATTTGCACAAAAGCAATACATCTCTTAATACTAATTTCTGGACTGTTGCTTCTATGGGTGATCAATCTAAAATGAAATCCTTGACAGTTTCAACCTTTGCACTTTTAACATGGTGTTGCTTATTGATTCAGTTGTTAGGATTTTTATTTCTTTTGTTGTTACTCAGAAAGAATAATCATTGATTTTCAGCAGTGTTTCCTGTCTTCCTCGCATTCAGCAAGCAAGGCTGTGTCATCAGTATATCGGGCTGTTAAAGAGTCTTCCTTCAATCTTGATGTCACATTCTTCTTCATTTAGTCTAGCTTCTCAGATTACTTGCTCAGCACACAGATAGAGTAAGTATGGTGAAAGGATACAACCCTTGGTGATTTTAAGCCATTAGCCATGCAGTGTCCCTGTGTTATGACTGCTTCTTCATCTATATATATTCCACTTGAGCACAATTAAATGTCCAGAAATTACCATTCTTCACAATGTCATCCATAAGTTTCAATAATGTATATGCTTTTGCATAGCCCAAACCCACTCCTTCCTGATAGTCTCTGCTTTCACTATTTTTTTTATGTCAGCAATGCTATCTCTTGTTCCAAGTCCACTTTTGAATCTGACTTAAATTTCTGTTAGTATCAGCTTTGAGTTAGTATTAATTACTTACTACTGTGTAACAAGACTTTCTGGTGATAGGGTAGTTAAATCACTCAGCTGCTAGCCAAAAGGCCAGCAGTTCAAATCCATCAACCCCTTTTAAGGATTAAGATGTCATCTAAAGATTGGAATTTTGATGGGAAAATCCTATGCTTTTATGTAGTCAGTATGAGGCTGAATTTTGGTATTTTAAAAATAATTAAATTAGCAAATAATTAAACGAACTCTCTTGCTAAATTCAATAGAGACAAAAAGTAAAGCAATTCATTGAAGCTCCTTGGTCTTGAATGTTTTTGTTTTTTTCTTGTGGTTGTTGTGGTAGTGGTGTTCTGTATAGTTGGAACTGACCCATAGCAAACCTTCTGGTGGGTTTTCAAAGGCAGTTAATCGCACAGGAGGAGATTGCCCATCCTTTGCCGGTGGCCTTGAACCACGTGCCTTCAGGATTGTAGTACAGCTTTTTGCCACTATTACTCTATAAAGATTTTTTGCAGTGAGTTGTTGGGAGCCACCATAGCCCATGGCCAATTTTCTTGTAGATGCAATCTTAACTCCAGATCCTTACTCTCACTCTTAAAACAATATTTTAACCACTTGGATTTTTTACCTCCTTATACTTGAGAATAGTAACAGTAATAACTTTTATAGAGGTTGTTTGGGGAAATCTAAGATCTTACTCTGGTGTCATAGTCCACAGGGAGTTGGTTGTACAGCTATAACCCAAAAGGGTGCCTCTCTGGTAGTTCAAATCCTCCAGGGCCTCTGTGAGAGAAAGATGGATAATTGCCTCCCATGCAATTTACAGCCTCTGAAAATCTTCTGTGTGGCCAGTTATGAATTGGTTTCAACTCGACAGTAATGAATTTTTGCGTTTGAGATCTCATTTGTATGTATTTACACATGCAGACACTCGAGTGAAGAGCTTGAATATTTCCAGATGGGATAATGCTAAGAATTCCGGCTTGAATGTCAAATTTTGATGCTATCCCTGTTTCTGTTCAACTCTGTGAGATTACTAAAGTCAATTCAGGATTTAGATAAAGTCAGTTCAAACTGGTTCAGACACAAGAAACAAAGTGGAATTAAAACCATCATTTTATTTTTTATTTGAAAGATCCAGAACAATAACTATAATGGATAAACTGACAGGCAGAAGTCTTGGAATGGGAAACTCGGAAGAGAGGCACACGCTCAGCAGAGTGAGGTTGCTCGTAATCTTTGAGCTAAGCACCATTATTTCAATTCAGTCAATCAGGAGATTTATTCAATAGACAAGCACACACTGCCTTTGTTTTTTCAGCAGAAGATTGGTTTTTTTGGCCAGGCTTCTACCATAGTTTTTCATTCCAGATCACACACATTTTAAAACTTTGGGTCCATGTAGGTGATGTGGCTTCATCAGCCATGACTGAACCAATTAGAAGTCCTGCATCAGTTTATATAGATGATATTAAGGAACCGTGGTTGCCTCATGCATTACATGTTAGGCTAACTGGAATGATTGTGGTTTGTTTATGCCAGCAGCACCGTGAGCAAAAGAGGAGGCAGTTTTCTCCCATAAAGATTCAGAGCCTCAGAAACCAGAGGGAGGGCCACCTTAGTCAGGACTGACTCAAGTTTAGTGGGTTGCTCAGTTTGGGTTGCTTTTTATGTAGTAATAAGGAATCTCTGAGTGGCACCGACAGGTCTTCAGTTAATAACCAAAAGACCAGTGATTCAGGTATACACAAAGGTGCCTTGGAAAAAAGGCTTGGCGATCTGTCTCTGATAGATCCCAGACACCGATCAACCCATGAAACACAGTTCTACACTGGCACACATTGGTCGCCATGAGACGGAAGTGACTCTTACAGTTAAAGATTTGTTTGTTTCACTTTATCTGGTAATGAATCATGCAGTCAAAATGTGGTTATTCTTCTTTTCCAAAGTCTGTTCAAATAGCCCCAGGATACCAGCCAAAAATATCCTATTTGTTCTTTCAAATCAGGAATGCATCCTTCCACCAGGCACTTGCATTGTTTGAAATCATGTCTTGAGGCACACAGTCAACCCCATGTGACAATTCTGAGACGAGATCTGGGCTTCCCCAGGCTAGACCACAATTGGGAAGCTCACTGTAGGCAACAGATAGTTTAAGAATGCAATGAAAACATTTCTAAGTGTCTTAATCTCCTAAGTCTTTCTTCCTTATACCTTCTTAGTAAGTAAATATCACATATCCTTCCTTTGATTCTTCCTTAACTACGTCATTGGATAGCCAAAGAGTCCCCACATTGCCCTACGTGAGGCTGCCCCCATTCCCCATCTAATTTCTCTCTCAAAGCCTCTCTATTTCTTGTATGAACAACTACTCTTGCCTTAATTCACAAAGCCTGGCTAATTTTAGATGGCGTATGCCAAACTTGCTTAAGAAAGTGAGGATAGCATTGGGCTTTAGGATGTGAAAAGAAAAAACTTTAATATCTATATACAGGATAATTGATCTCACTATTACTTAAATTTATCTACTTTTTCCTTCAACTTGGGAGTCCCTGTTGATCACATCCACCCCAGGTTCCTGGACAATAGTCATGTTACCACCACTGCTAACCCTTATGGTTTGCCACTAACTCCACAGTCTCAACACTTTCTCCATAGGATCTACTAAACTACTTAAACTAATATCCCAGAGACACTGCCCTGATCAACACACACACACAGATATCCTTTTGTATTATTTTAAATTCATATCCTTTTATATTGGTATGCAGAGATGTTTAGATTCTCCTCATCTCAAATGCCCATTTTTCTGGCAGGATTAGAGTAGAAGTCCTAAGTTCATGGCCATTGCCTTCAATACTAAAATACAGTCCTCCTCAAAGATGAAGTCTGCCCCTGTACCTAGAAGAAGTACAACTTTTAAGTGTAAAGAATTAACGACTTACAGAAACATCAACAGATTGTTATGCCGGCTTAATAGGCCATGTGACACTGGACACTTATTTGCCCTGTAGGTAAGCGTACCAAATGACCGAAGTTCTTCATGTACGTATATGCAGAATTATCCGAAAATCTGAACAAAATCTGATTCATTGACATTTATGTCATTTCATAAAACAACTGTCAGATAATCAAAAGCCGTCATTTTAAAAAGCCATATTCTGGAAACAAGATGTTTTCTCATCAATGTAAGAAGCAGGATGTTGATTCATTTTTATTGTTTTCTGAATCATGAGTGTAAATTCATGAATAATAAAACCACTCTTTCTGATTTTAATAGGTAGGGCCATCTAGCTGTTTTTAAAGGTTCATTTACAACACAGTCAAAAGACTATTTGCAATTGCATAGATTTTTAACATTTTTGAAAATTACGTTTTGTGTGGTGAGTAAGAGAATCTTGGTTTTCATAATGCAAAACTTGTAACTTTTTATTAAGTAGTTTATTTTTTGTATAAACTATTTGATCAGGAGGAGACAGTCCAAGAAAGAAGCCCTGAAGGCACAGCCCACCATAACCCTGGGGGGGGGGAGGCTAGGGGGGAGCGGATCCAGTCTGTCAGGACCTATGGAGACCTGATAAAGGTTTGCTTTTGCTGTCAGTCAGAACTGATTTGACAGCAGTGTGGTTTTTGAGGCAGTCCAAGGAGTCATCAGTGGGACAAAAGGTTTATACCCTCAACTAAAAAATTGGACAATCAAGTCCACTTGTAGTCACCTCAGAAAAATATGCCTGGAAATGGTTTTTCTGAAACTCAGCCACAAAAACCCTGGCGGCACAGTTGTACTCCGATACTTCTGGGGGTGCTGTGAGTCAGAGTAGTCATCAGGGACAGTCAGCGGTGGTTAAGGCAGCCCAAGGAGCAGGGCAAATACCCTAGGAGCAGTTCAGTCTGGGAAAGCCAAACTGTGGTGACTGATTACAAGCCAAAAGACCTGGGCCGTTTTGTTGATATAGACTCCAGCTCCAGCAGTTGGAGGGGAAGGGCAGGTAGCATAATCCAGAAGCCAGGGGAGAGGCAGCCAACCAGAGGTCTGCAAATACGGAAAGAGAATCTTAGTAACAAATGAGGTGGGAAATGGTGAAGACCTAGAACTATAATTCTAAGTGTGTCTCAGATTTTTAATCTTGAACTACCAAGAGTTTCTTGTTGGTAGATTTGTTCATAAACAATTAGTGACCAAGAGAGGAGAAGTAGAGAGGTAATAGGAGAATACCTTAAAAGTTACACAGGCTACTTCTTTATTTAATCAATTCTCCCTTTGGGAGCATTTTATTGTTCCTAATTTTTTACCTTATAAATAATATTGT